AGGGCCTCCAGTATAATGAACCAAAGACATTTTATTGAGCATCAGATAAAGCTTATATACCGTACTGTCCTGGCTACAATACCTTATTTGCCTCCAAGCATGCAAAGCACAGTTACTAAATAAGCCAATAATCTAAGGGAGAGTATCAAGACTCTCTTGGTCACGCAGCAGCCATACAGTTGCTTTTGCTGCTTGTTTGCTGGTAGAATATCTGCACTGCTGTCCTTGTGGTTGATTGTCTGCTAATGAGGCATCCTGTACTACTGTCCTTGAAGCAGGCCTCCACAGGGCTGTCATGTGGAAATTTGCAGCTTTTTTTAGACTGATATCTTCCAGTCTGGAGAATTACAAGGGTTATTTTTAAATGCATCATAATCACTTTGTTTATTTTTGCTTTTTATTAGTATTTACCCAGTTCGATTCTCTCTAATAGATAACACCACCTGCTCCAAGTGCTCAGCAGTCCTGGTCTCAGTCATTTGGAGTCAGCCCAAGTGCAAGCAGCATTGGCCAATACTTTGATAAACATGATATGAAGGAGTCGTCGTACCACCTCCTCATCTCACGCCTGGACCTGCACCTCTGTGATGACAGCCACACTCGGGAGTCAGGTACCTTCCTGAGAGCAGGATCAGGATGGCACGAGGAAGAAATTAATCCAGTTATCAGTTTTTCCCCCTTGAGGGAGGTTTTTCTTGTTGAAAGCAAACATCTTCCATGTTACTGATTCCAGGGAGGTAACGGAAGCCTTATAAAGCTGATTAGTTCTGTGTGTAGAGTTAGGAATTGGAAAGTGTTTCTTGGCTCCCTGGAACAAATGTGGGTTAGTCCATCAGTGGAAATAATATCTGTGCCTGCGACGAGGCGCTGAAGGATGTGCTCTAGGAACAATCTGGGTTTGAGCAAAGGTGATGAGACGTGATCAAAGAGATCACTTCCCTCGGTGAGAAAACAGCACTTGGCAGCGTAACCGTGTAGTTACGTTCCTTGCTTAGGAATGTCCTGAACAAGGATTTTTGATGCCTGTGACACACCATTTTCCTGCCTGCTTGGTTGTGTCTGTATAATTAAGTAATTGTATTACACATAGTCCCTCCCCCCACCCAGGTGTGCTTTAATTACTTTTTCTCTCTTTTGGGATAAAGGTACCTTTCTTCCTTTCTCTGTCTCACTCCCTCAGTTCACAGCAATCTCTAGTGTTTGTTCCTACAATCTGCCTTAAAAAAAGACCTTAATTCCCCTGCCCACACCCATCACTATTACAGGCTTTTCTTTGTGTGCTGCCTGCTCCTCCTCCTGAGCTGTTGTTTCTAGCATCTCCACACAGTTTTGCTGTCTTTATTTCACCAGTCCTGTTTATTGTAGTGAAAAGCGTCATTGATAGGGGCCTGGGAAGCGATGGGATATTACAGTTGCTATTTGAGATTCTCATTCTTTAGTATGAACAGCTTGTTCTGTTGTCTTTTTCTTTGTCTAGTCAAGGTTCTGGTACTGCTTTTAAAAAGAAAATACGTATTGTTGGCCATGGTAGCAGTCAGTTGGCAGATGGGGATTCTCCTGGCTCGGGATGTTCATGCTTCCCTCCTTTCTGCTTGTCCCAGGTGCTCAGAAGCACGGGATGCTGGGCGGTGCCATACAGCTGACCTTCAGGAGAATGGCCTTTGACTACTATCCTTTCCACAGGGCAGGTAAGGGGGTGTCTCCCCACTTGGGAAGAGAGATTAGAAGAGAGTTTAGGGAACAATGATGCTATGTGCCTGCGAGCAGCATAGGAAGAAAGGCTGCACAAAGGATTTGTGACTTAATTCCTCACGGGCAGAGTTAATCTAATTTAACTCTTTGTAGATGAAGTGGATTTAACCGGGTTTAACCTTCTGGCAGAATAAAGTGCAAAGCAAGGAGTAAACTGCTATCTGTTATAAAGCCATAAAGTTGATTTTTTGGATCTGTTTTCAGTTGCGTAAGTTCTGGATCTGGCTCTCACATGTGCCTAATCAATTTGAGAAGGTTATAGGGTGTATCCCGGGAGAAAATCTGTTTGATGTTAACTGAAGAATAAAGAAAAGCTGTTGGGGCAGCTGTTATGTGGAAGCTCTTGCTTCAAGAGCACTTAGTGTGCTGCATATTGCATGTTCCAGAATTAGGGAGTCAATGAAAGGGAATGCTCTACAGGTTTACATGTGTTTGAGGGAAGCAGCAGGATTACATACATCCAGGAACCTCATTTGGAAGCCACAATGCTTGTTTTCATGCAGGAGATGCCTGCAAGCACTGGGTGAGGTACAGCGAGGCCATGGAAACCCGGGGGCAGTGGGCAAAGAAGTTGGTCAGTGAATTTCAAAGCAAGATTGAGAAGCACTATGAAGAAATGGACCCTTCCTTTACCAAGACTCCACCTTCTCCCTTCAAAAAGAAACCAGGTAACTATGTTTGATAAAATTCCTGGTAAAGTAGAAGATGGTAGCAGCTTTTTTCCATCTGTCAGTGTCTCTAGTTCCATTTCACCAGCTTAGCAGGTTCATTTGTTGGTGTGGAAATCCCTAGCACGCTAAACATTGTGAATTTAATGACAGTGTAAAACACATATTATACCAGAATGACAGTGCAGGGCGAATGGGCAGATTGCAGGCGTCGCTTTCCTAGCCTTTTTACTGAATTTTTCTGCAAGCAAGTATGTAATGAGTAATGAAATGCCTGAAGATACCAAAAGCCTGGCCGAGAACTTGTTCTCTTGCCTTCTTCCCCACAGATGCTTCGAGTCCTCATAAAAGTCCCCCGGAGAAAGGCCGGGTCCCTCCCTCCAGCTTGCCGCAACTGCGGCACCCTGCCTGGAACCGCCTTCGCTCCAGCTGTGTGCTGCTCCGCGTGGATGACCTAGACATCCACCAGGTAGGAGCTTGACCAGTGCCTGGAAATGAGCTCAAGTCCAGTGCTTGTGTCTTTTTTTTTTTTTTTTAAGTAATCGTTTATTCTGGTACAATGGAAATCAATCATGCAAACCTCATGTTGTCCAAGGCAAACAAAATTTTGCAACCAGAACCAGAATTTTGTTGCATTTATAACTTTTAAACCAAAAATGAAATGCAGATAGCTTTTATGTTCAGTGGAAACTGCATGTGTAACCACAGAGTTTGTGCAGAATCCCAAGCTCTGTGCCTGTCTGTTCACATCTAAACTTTCATCAAGCATAAGGCAAGCTCAGAACAAGACTTGCTCATTTGAAAAATTACTTGGGTGAGTAAGTCTTCCTTTATGCTTTTTGACGCAGGAGAGAAAGGATCACTGGAATGGATCATACCCTGTGTTAATATAGCCTCTATTAGTCATAAGAGGATAACTGTACCAGGCACTATAATGGATTTAGCAACACGTTGTTAATCCCGAAGAATGCTAAAATAGATTTCAGTTCTGTTTATTCACATCACCTAATTCTGATTGTCATGGCTTTAACTAGTAGCTATGGGAGATATAAAGAACCAAATTCCCTCCGAAGGAAGGAGATGAAGATATTAACATGTAGGAAAATTTTTGTTTTCACTTGTAAACAGAACATGTTTGTGTCAATGCGATAGGTTGAATGTGGGAGACTGTAGGGTCCCTGGAACACTTTATTTTGCCAAATCTGAATTTAGCACAGCTGCTTCCTGTTGTGTTTGCAGGTTTCTACAGCTGGTCAACACAGTAAGAAACCCTCCACGTTGCTTTCATGTAGCAGAAAATTCCTCAACCTTCCAGATCAGGTGTCTGCAATCCATATTGAGTTCACAGAGTATTACTTCCCAGACAATCAGGACTTTCCAGGTAATATACCAAGGTTAGCACTTTATTTCACAAGCTTCTTAAAGAATCAGTCTACTCTTAATTCTTTAGGCATGTTAACCCTCTTACAGTTTCTCTGCAGGAGGTATTCTTTCCCATGTTCCTGATGTTTGTGTTTCTGATATTTAAAAAATATTTATTTTTTCCTTTGAGAAACTGGGATAGATCCTTGGTGCAATACGTGTGGGCAGAGTTGTGCTTAAAAATAACTTGCCTGGGATCATATTGGAAAATCTCTTATGTTTGCACAAGTCTTGGGGTTCTGCCTAACCCACTGACTGGGTGCTCTGCAGCTGATGTGGTGGGAGAACTGGGATGTCAGGTCACTGCTGCACCTCGGCTTCTCCCTGTGATCCAGAGGTTTGTCTTGTGAGTGCAGAAGCCTCCGCTTTGGTGTTGGCCACACAGGTTACACACTGACCTCCAGAGCATCCAAAGTGTCTTTGCTGCTCTTCATAATCTGTTCTGATCCTGTTTGTTCTAGTTCCGTGCCCAAACCTGTACGCACAGCTGAACGGCCTGACACTCACCCTGGATACAGCGAGTGTGCTCTGGATAAACCTCTTCTGCCTGGATCTTTATCGCAGCTTGGAGCAGTTCAAAGCCATCTACAAGCTGGAGGATTCGGGCGAGCACGATGAGCACGTGGACGTTCGCCTGGATGGCTTCCGGCTGAAGGTGCAGGTCGTTTCTCTCCTTTCTCAATCCTCAGTGTTTTCTGCCTCCCTTTCATGGAAGGAACATGAGACCAGGATGCAGCTGGAGTCCAGAATGAGAAACAGAAACTTAACCTTTCTAGGCCGTCTGCTTCTCAGGTTATTTTTACTTTGATCTGTGGGCAGTAAAAAATGTGCTCGAGTTCTAGCCCAGAATAGATGGGAAAGTCTGCATTTATGAAAAGCTGGAAGGAGAACTTGATGGTTCAGCTGTGTAAAAACAATCATCTGCTGCAGGCTGCATTTGCATGGCTAACAGAAAGATTGTATTAGCCAAAAGTTGTTTTCTGGCCTTTGAGAACCACTCATCAACTCTCATTCCATTCCCCGTTGCCTTCTTAGCAGTTTTGTGAGGAGACCTGAAGGCCGGAGGGGATAGCGAGCCCTTGTGAAGAACGGTCCAAGGGTACAGTTTTAAGTCTGACCTGCTGCATAAGCTATGGGTGTAAAGGAACCTGAAATGAAACTTAGTTTAAATCCCCCCCGTCTCACTCCCCTCCTTGATTTTTACATTTTATTTATTTTTTAAGATAGGGATGACTTGAGAGCCTAACCTACTGGGACTGTAGCAGAATTCCTATTCTCTCATTGATTATATATTCCACAATTGCCCTTCTGTGTAAACAGCTAGGATGGACCTCTCTAATTTCCTTTCTAACCCATTTACTTGTAATTCTTCTTTCTGTGCTCCTTGTAGCTCAACATCCCTGTGGAGAAGAAGGTTGCCGACCATCGCGATCGCCCGCGGGCGCTGTGCGTGCGCGCGGCGCAGGTGACTGCCACCAACACCCGCCACGCTCCCCTCTGCAGCTGCCAGGACCTCCAGAGCCTCTTCCGTAAATTTGCCAATTCCGAATTTTTCCACTCTACCTATTCGCAGTTCCCAAGGTCTCAGGACAATTTCAGCCTTCTCCACACCCTTTTCCTGCGCCATGCGTATCAAGTGGATGACAGACCTCGGAAGCAGACAGGCTTTTCCCAGACGTTTCCCAAGGCCTCTGCCTCTGAAGACCTGTGGTCTGTGAATTTCACAGAGCTTTCCCTGGACTTTGAGGGGGCAGAGAGCTCAAAGGGCAGAGCCATTAATTTTATTTCCTCTTTTCCCCTTTCCATTTGGGCCTGCCTTCCCAAGAGATGGGCAGAAGCTCAGGTGTCTAAACGACAGGCATTAGCTGCCTCTGAATTGAAAATCAAGCCTTCTGCCAGCTTTAGCAATCACTCCATGAATGAGAATCTTTCCAAGGAGCATGGGATTTGCCAGAGATCAAAGACCGACCAAGATCTGAAGAACATCTACAAGGTCCCAGAGACGATGGGCGTCTTGGCAGAACGTGACTATGAAAATGATGCTGGAGTAGCTGATAAAGAGCTGGAGTCCTCTGCTGATATCCATGTGCTTTTGTCCTCATCTGTTCCTGTCAAAGTTCGACTCAACCACTACCAGTATTTGGTGCTGCTGAGGATGAAAGAGGTTTTGCAAACACTACAGGAGCAGCTGGCTCAAGATACACAGGAAGTGACGGGGTCTCCTTTAGATCCCATGTCTGCTTGTGTCGGAGTTATGTTCCATAGTGCCGAATTGGCCCTAATCATGAACCCTGTGCCAGGCTCCGGCTTGGAACCTCGATCCCTCGACTCGGACACGACCAGCCTGATAGAATCAGAGCTCTCGCCCTCAGACAGCAAGGAGGGGCTGGCGGCTGAAGAGAAGGAGCTGAAATCAGAGAGCAGCTCAGAGAAGGGAGCAATCAGCAGCTCCAGGGCCCCAGAAGACAGCGGGGCTGAAGATGCAGACCCGGCTGTGACCGCGGCGCTGCCCGAGAGCCTCCCGCGATCCGCGAGCGACGGAGCCCTGGGCACGAGTCCGTGCGACGGGAGCGCGGAGGAGAAGGGCCCGGTGGAGGAGGCCCATGAAGCGGTGGAAGCGCTGGGTGCCGAAGGAGCGGCGGAGTCCAACCGGCCTCGGAGCCCTCCCGCCCTCCCGTCCGGCCCGACCTCGGATGTGCAGCCCTTGAGGAGAGGGAGCGTCGCTCTCAATGGCCAAGCAGAGCTCATCCCGTTAAAAAACCTGGAGGTGGAGCTGTCTAGCGCGCTGCATATCACAAAGGATGCCACTAAGGAAGCTCTGCACGCGACGATGGACCTCACCAAAGAAGCCATGTCTATAACGAAAGACGCTTTGAGCCTGAGCCGGGAGAAGGTGACCTCCACCATGCAGAAAATGCTCTCTCTCCCACCAATCAAGTGAGTGCATCATCCTCCTGGGCTTCAAAATAGTGGGATAAAGTGTCTGGAAAGGGGGCAAAGCGTGGGCTGGCTGCTCCCTTTCTCTCCCTGTCACTTGGGTCACAGATCCTGCATGCCCCAAGACTGTCACCTTTTACTGCTAAAACAAAACCTCCGGTTGCTGTGAGACACCAAGTTTGCTTTATACCAGCAGTGGGGGATTTTGGCCCTGACAGCCTGGGAAAATTCCTGTTATTTCAAAGTTTTTAGTTCAAATGCTGGCCAGGTTGCCAGTAACCTGATGTTACAGCTAATGACGCTTGTGTGGCAGCTTTTTTGGTAATTTGTATTTCAGTTCTTGGTGTGTGGGTATGTTCTGCTGAGGCCCTCGCAGCGCTGGGGTGCGGGGAGCGGTGCAGCCGTTTCGGGTACGCGGCAGCGCTGCGCAGAGCGGCTCTGCGTGATGAGGTTAGGGCAAGCCCGGCCGGTGCTGGTGCTCCCACTTTTTGTGAAACAGTTAGGAGCTTTGGAGTCTTCTACAGAAGAAACTGAAGCGAGCAGCCTTGAGAGGCTCTGGAATCTCGCTTTGGAGAGGATCTTAAACACAGGTTAGACATTGATCTGAGGGGTAATTTAACTGCACTGCAGGGTGTCTCGCGCGGGGGCAGAGTAGCTGGGGTGTAATTTGGAGGCTGAGCCGGTTTCCCTGCGGGTTCTTGGCAGGGATGCTGCGCCGAAGGCAGAAGAGGGAGCCGTGACTCCCGGCGGGGGCGGCGGGCGGACCGCGGGGGTGTTGTC